AATTATAACATTGATCATACTTATAGAAAATATGAAACACCTAGAAATGCATAAAGCAGAAAATGACAATCACCTTTAATCTAATTACCCAGAACTCACCACTGTTACAATTTTAGGGTAATTTGTCCTTTTCTTCTATGCATATTCTTACATAGTTGAGAGCAGGCTCTATAAGTAAGCTCATATCCCTTCTTCACACTTAACATTATAACATACATGTTTAATGTTTTTGAAATTTTGTAAATATTTTAATGGCAGCATAAAATTCTATCATATGGATACCATATAATTGATTTAACTATTTTCATACAGATAGGAATAGGGGAGAGAAGATTTCACTACAGGCATACCTCGGAGATATGGTGGGTTAAGTTCCAGACAGCCAAAGTAAAGCAAGTATTGCAATAAAGCAAGTGCAATCTTTTTGTTGGTGGAGGGTCTTGCCTTCAATTTGTAAAAAAAAAGGCAATAAAGCAAAGCACAATAAAACAAGGTATGTCTGTGTTACAATTGATGCTACAGTGTTCACATTTGTATGAACTTAGATTCTGTCAATGATTTCTTGTGATCAGTATCAAGAACAAAATGAATGAATCAGCTGTATGAAAGTTTCTTCCCAACAAGTTTTGTGCCAGCTTCCACTCATCACAGGTGTGAAAAACTGCACATTTCATCTTCTCTTCACAGCACTTGTGGTTATGACTGAAGGATTTGGGGTGTGGGCACAACACAAGCAGCTTTGCATTTATAAAGTTGCATACTGGAGACTGAATCAAGTGGGACAAATCAGAAATGTTATTGTCCTTACTGTCCCTCCTTTGCTTCCACATTTTCCCCTTTCCATTTCCCTGTTCACCGTTTTTCTTTCTCAGAGAGTGCATATTAAGTGTTCATTGCACTCAAGCACTACGTAAGGCTTTGTAACCAAGAACAGAGCTGAGAGGCCTCGCTCTATGGTCACTACAAGCTTGTGCCCAGCCCACAGACCCTCTTTTTATAGTTTTGTCAAAAAAAATCTCTTGCCTGGTCAGTGTGGCTCAGTGGTTGAGCGTTGACCTGTGAACCAGGAGGCAGAGAGGTTCATTTCCATGCATGGGTTGCGAGTTCGGTCCCTAGGGGGTGTGCAGGAGGCAGCTGATCAATGATTCTCATCATTGATGTTTCTACCTCTCTCTCCCTCTCCTTTCCTCTCTGAAATCAATAAAAATATATATTTTTTAAATCTCTGGACAGTACTTCTCCTTCGGTATAAATATATATAAGCCTAAGCGACCATTACGACCAAACGACCAGAACAACCAGTCAACCAGTCGCTATGACAAGCAATGACCACCAGGGGGCAGATGTTCAACACAGGAGCTGCCCCTGCGAGCTCCCACAGGGAGAGCACCACTCAGCCAGAAGCCAGGCTCATGGCTGGTGAGCGCAGCTGCAGCAGGGGGAGCCTCTCCCAACTCCACAACAGCACCGAGATGAGCTCGAGCAGCACCTAGCCTGGCTTGGGCACCTCCCTGGCTGCCTTGCAGCTTGGCGCACTGCTACATCCCCCGAGGGGTCCTGGATTTCGAGAGGGCGTAGGCCAGGCTGTGGGACCCTCCCTGCACAAATCCATGCACCAGGCCTCTAGTTTTTTATATTCTCCAGTAAAACTGCCAAATGGGTTTATTGCTAAATGAATTTCTCTCTTCATCCTGTGACTATCCAAAACTACATATGATCATCCCTGTCCCTGGAATGTTTTTCCTCTTTCTTAACCCAGCAAATTGCCTTGGTAGTCATCCTTCAAGACCTTCCTTAAATGCCCCTGACACCTTCCTTCCAACCTTGACCAGTCAGAATCAGCTACTCAGGCTTCCTTACTCCTATAGTTCAAGTACAGTGTTTTCTATACCTAACACTTTTCTCCCTCTTGGCTAAAAAAAAATCCTTCCAAACTAAAATATTTTGTACCCCACTTCTTAACAGAGTGCCTGATACTTGGTTGCTACTCAGTAACTGTTGAATGAATAAATGAGTAAGTAAGTTAATTCCTGTTTTACTAAGGTGCATAGACATTTCATCTTAAATACTAATGAGTTGATAAGTATAAAGACAATATGGAGCCGATGTGAATTGCTAAAACCACACTCTGAATCATTGGTACCTAAGGTAAAACAGACACCTGGTATACCAGATGTCCTGATCCTGGGTTCTAAGTTCTAAACATTTAATTGTTCTGTGTGCCTGGACATTGATTTGCATTCTATTCTGTTTCATTTAAAAAGCAAATTTAATTTGGGTGTAAGTATCTCTGTGCTAGAAACAGTAAAGGGAATTCAGTGATGCCAGTATTTCCAAAGTGTGTTCCTAAGAAAACTACCATGGACTGTTTATAGGCATCACACAAAAGAATAGCCTTGTGGTCCCATATGTTTTGGGAAACAGAGATAAATAGGTTTCTTTACCTCAGAACTTCCTGGTAGCCATTCTAGGAAGTTGAAAGAAAAATCAATTAAGAAATGGTAAAGAGATAGAAGAGCAGTCAGTCTTCCTTCAGTGGTAGATAGGAGTCATCCTAGCCCCTTTATACTAGGGAAGATTCAGAATACAAATTCAAAGGCAGAATGGCAAAAAGTGTACTGAGAGCCTAGCTCCTACATTTATCTCCTCAGTTCCACATTTGTGCAAGCCCCTGCCCCCCACACACCCACCACGCTGATGAGATCAGCCTTCATTACTTCTCTTCTAGAGCCAAGAAGCAAGGTAATGTGTGGGAAGTGATAACTGTAAGGTAATGTGTGGGAAGTGATAACAACTCTAGAGTTAAAGCCATTCAACAGGAAAATTTGTTAAAAGACCAAGACATTGTAAAAACTGAAACTCTTGAGTCCATTAAGTCCTCTGCTTCTTAGAACATCTTGTTACCAGGGAATGTTTCAAGGAGGGAAAAACATTGAACTATCCCACAGCTCTGTCAGATACCAAAGCCTGGTACAAAGAACAACATTTTATAAGACATCTGTCCCTCTGCCACTAGAAAAACTTTTAAAAAGTTCTGCTTCTCTTCCTTTCTTCTACCCCAATATAACTCCTCCACCCTCTTCACACTGTATATCTGTATATACTTCTCTCCTCCCTTCTTTTCCTTCTCCCCCTCCTCCTCCTCCTCCTCCCCCTTCTCCTCCTCTTCCTCCTCCTCCTCCTCTTCTTCCTCCTCCTCCTCCTCCTTCTTCTTCTCTAG